GTATGTATGTATGTATGTATGTATGTATGTATGTATGTATGTATGTAATAATAGAATTATTATTGTTATTGTTGTTTTTTTTATTATTACTAAATTATTTGCAAATCAAAGCCCAACATGTGGAAAACAGGATTGTAGTTGGTGTGATATGAGCAGGCTGACACTGAATATAGAAAAGAATGGGAGGTCCTACAGACAGGTGCCTGGAAAAAAGTTTGAGAATATATTTTCTTTGCACCCCCGTGTACTTAACACCCCTGTCAAGGTGTAATTTATATCTGTGCATGTGAGCATAAAGTTTTGTACAGCTGATTGAAAAGGCATGTCATGCCTGGATGTCTGGGGTGTGTGAAGACATGTGATAGGCCTCTTACATAACTGCGGATAATTTGAGTGAAATGTGTCTAATGCAAAAGTACGTGAACCTTTTCAGAGGGAGAACATGTGCTTTGGATTAGCTCTATTATTTGACATACGTACTGTACATAAAATTAGTTTGTCATCTTTAAAGTGACAGACAGGCGGCTTTAAGTCATTCATTTTTAGGGTAGGATTACCCGGCAGATTAGTGATGTGATGCATTCATAACTAATAGCCTCTTAAAGCTACACGGATGTGTGAGATGCACTATACCTTGTCAATAAAATTTATCAAACAAAGCTTTTTTTTACATGCTTTTAATTGTTTGGGACACAGTGCATTCACAGACAAATAATAGGTTTCTATAGCATCTTTAAAAATCCAGTAATCATTTCATAGTTTTTTTGGTTTAATTATCTTACAGTCATAGGAAGCCTGCCTTATGTTTGTAAAGATACAGCATAATAGGTGCACCCCACCCTTTGCACACACCAAAATCATTTTACCCATAATGGGAGGCCCCATTCAGCGATTGAGAAGAGGTTTATGTCTTCTGCTCTTCGGAGGTACTTCACCAAATTTCCAAATCAAATTGTGTTGAGCGTGGCCAGTGAAAATATTAGGACGCTTAGGAAACATTAGGCCACTTATGAATTTCAACAGTAATCTACAATCTTCAACAAGCATTCGATGCTTAAAGAATCTGGTATAGTAACACCACTTCAAATAAACCTACCACAGTTCAGACTCACAAACTGAAAACATTCCTTGGACGGACTTCTGCATATTACAAACTTTGTAAACAGCCTGTAAAATGAATGGAGGATTCTCCACCACTTGAAAAAAAGTGCAAGAAGACTGAATTGTGTGAACTGGGTCTCCACCCCTCCGCTCGATCAGTGGAGTAGCTCTACATCAGTGCACAGGATTGTACATGTCACAAAACATCTTTAATCTGCTGGTTTAACCCCTCTGGGAAAGTCATTACACTCTAGAAGTACACAAAAACACAAATCAAGGCTGAGTGTGCTGCTAATTGGGCAGCCCAGCAAACCAAAAGTACTTTTTAGAGGAGAGGACAAGTCCTCAAAATTGATAAAATTGCCATGAGAAGTTGAACACAGGTTGACCCACAAAATATGTCGTTGACTCACATCCTTAAACATTTAACTTATGAAGACTTTGCAGCATCATGGCAATAAAGTTAAATTATCCCTCACATCCTCCTTTTTATAATGACTCAAATGTTTTGGGTGTATTCCAGGAGGGTTAAATTAGTAGATAAATGGTCAATGATAATGCAGGGCCCTGTTTTAAATATTTCCTGTCGTGTTTATTATGCATTGATCTTTATTTTCATGTGTGACCAACACAACTGAGCTTCAGGTACAGAGGTCTGACTTTGTATGGCCCGTTAAAAACCAAGCCTGAGCTGCCACCTAGTGATAAAAGAGAGCTGTTGCACTTAAGATCCTGGTAGCCTACAGCCCCTGGGTCTGAGTGCGAGGTTTAGCCATTAGGTATTGAAACTAAATAAGAAGAAACCACAAACAGTGTAACTGTGACTGAAGGGGACGTGAAGTTTGCCGATGACCTGCGGCCCCACCTATACCAGCTGTGGTTTCCATCTGACCTGACCCCATTTGTTGTTGTCGGAATATTTGAATAGTCATTTGAAATTCATTTGAATGAGGGAGCCTCTGTCTGTGTGAGGGCTGGTTTATTGGATGGGGAAAATCACTAGGGTCCTGCCACTGATTTAACATTCAGGGGATAAGTGACCGTCTACAGAACAATATAAATATGTAGCGCTGTGACACTGTGCATTTTGGTTTTATATCATACCTAAAGTCAAATCATAGATTTATAGACAATACAAGCTCTCGTTTTCAAATAAAGAAATAGATGTATAAATACCAATCGAGTAATTCGAACTGAGAGAACTGTTCTATCTTTAAAAAGAGTTGAAACTCCCATCACAACTGATAAGGGCACTTTGATAACTCAAGTATTTCTAAAATCCTGGCTGCAGTCCTGCTGCAGGTTTCCTGGTGCAGTTTGTAGAAATTGTAAAAGTTTCTTAACTTACACAAAACTACGTGACTCGGGCAAGACAGTATAAAGTTTTTTAATCAACATACATAAATAAGTTTTACAAGAGTATTAATTTCATGGATGAACTTGTTTTTTTTAATCAAAATCAAATTAAACAGCATGTTTTCTTTAAATATGCAAATGTCAAATAGTGAAGCAAAAAAAAAAACAGGCTTCAGACCAGTATTGACATCATTGACCCTATGTTGACATTATGTCACTAATGCTACTCTGTTGGTGATCTGAAGTTTTTACGTTATATCGATGTAAGACTTATTTCTCACACACTAACTGACTTGAACCATTCAGTGTTGCTAAACAGATGCCGCCCTGGTCTGAACCAAGGCCACACAACTGTGTGACAGGTGGATCCAGGATAAATATATTGACCCAATTCAAATTGGTAACAACAGAGTGAAAAACAGAAACGCCCTAACCTTGAGGCAACCTGTAGGACTCTGCTCACAGATCAGTGGCTCTATTTTTGGCCTCCCACCCTCCTCACAGACTATCAAAACCTAAATGGAGTGACTTCCTTCCGTCAAATGCCTTTGGGCAGGCCGCTTTATGGCACTACGTTTACACGACGAAAAGCACACAACCACGGAAATAAACGTCTACTTGTTTTCGCTGAATGGCGCTCGCGTGGCTTAAACCTTGTGCCTTCACATTTTGTCACTCACAAACCAGTCGGGGGTTATATAAATGCAGTCGTTTCCTCTGTCGCACTTCTCCTTTAAGCGGTGAAAAAACCCCAGCCATGACGTCAGGACTAAAACCTGCTGGGTGTCTGTCCACTGGAAAGTGAAGTGGCGTGCTGGTGGTAACAGACTTTTTTCTCTGTTGTCTATGTTTTGTAGTGTTTTTTTCCTCTTTTTTTACTTCGTTTGTGCGGTTTTACGTTACTTGTTGTGAATCCCAGCGTTATAACCAACTTAGAGGATGTTTTAGAAAAGTTGCCGAAGCGTTTCTTTGAGGAACCGGTGGAAGGCGGACACCATCGGGATGGATAAGCTAGCTGTTAGCTCAATTGTTAGCCGTGAATCATAGATCACAGAATAAGCTAGAGCTAGTATGCTAACAAACAGCTAACTTAGCATTTATCGGCTAAGCAATTGACTTTGTTAACCCGTAACGTCAGAAGTACTGTCGGCTAATGCCCAGGCCTAGCTCCTCGGAGTGAGCAGATTGTCAAAGGCCAGCTAACTCAGGAAGACTCGGTTTTGTGTTCAAAGGGGAAACGGCAGAGCGGTATTGTTGAGAGGTGACGGTTGTTCATCTCTCAGCCGAGACTCTAGATATGATGTCCAACGCTCAGAACCACCCTCTGTTCCCAAACCCGACGGGTCAGCAGAACCCGGGAGGCCAGTTCATCCCCATCCACCCAAGACCCAACTTACAGATCAAGAAGAACGCCATAACGGACGACTACAAGGTGACCAGCCAGGTGCTGGGTCTAGGGATCAATGGGAAAGTGCTCGAGATCTTCCAAAAGAAGACTGGTGATAAATACGCGCTGAAGGTAGGTTAGAGCTCGTTATCGGTCTCTGGGGTTGATGCAAGTCGAAATGGTAGATTTAAATACTCAAATTTATGTGTTTAATTTGTGGCCATTTCGTGATGAAAAAAGTACCAATAAGTGACTACCTTTTACTTTAAACCCTTTTATTCTCTCACACTGTTTTACATTTTCAATTATTATTACATTTATTATTATTATTATACACTGAAGCGTTTTAAGCCAACAGTAGGAGTTCCATGTTGGGGAACACCTCCTTTTATGTTTGTTGGTAGTGTATATGTGGTTAAGTTGAACCGTCTTTGCCAACAATACTTCCCTAACAAACGACATAACTTTGCTCAGCTTTGGTTTACTTTTGGCTGTAACTGAAACTTTTCCAACAAAAACTACATGTCTTACAAAGAATAACACCAGTTTTGTTTTGTTATTTGTCAATGCCATCCCTGCAAGCTAAACTCTGAAGTCTTTTATAAACAATAGTGTGTTTTTCAGAAAATTGGATGCTGCTGGAAAAATCTATGTATTGCTGATAATTGTCTAGGGGCTGAAAGTTGTTTGTAATCAAGCATTTGATCTACGAGAAGTCTTTTCCTCTGTAAAACTTACAAATATTTTTGTGGGTGGTTTTAGCTGTCTCAGCTCTGGGCTGAAATTAAATCTTATTTAACAAGAGATTCTTCATCTCCGTACTGATAGATCATTTATAAAGTTATAAAGTTTGGCCAGCTGCCCTCACAGAGATGGCTGCTGAGTTGATATGTAAAGACAGAAGTAGTTCTTTGGGGTTATGATGGAGGTTTGAGGTTGTGCATTATATTCAGATATATAACGCACAACAGATGTATGCAGTGCACTATATTCAGTTTGTTGTCTCTCAGCTTGCTATTGTTTCAGTGTTGGCAAGCTTTTTATTAATACTTCAATTTAGTCTAAACCTATGAAAATGTCTAAATAACATGCATATTTTGAATACTTGAATGGGCCATGTCCTGTAATTCTTGCGGATGCACTTTAGGAATAGCTTCTTCGATATCTATGCACTTGCGATTTATTGTGGTCACTTAGCAATAAAATGCTGTATATGGTATGCAAATAGGAGCTGAGTTCAGCCGCTCTACATAACTGATGCTGATGCTGCTGAAAACAGACGGTAAAGAGGTCAGTGTTGATGTCAAACATCAGAATGAGGAAAAATGTCTGATCTCAGTGTCTTTGGCCATGGTTACTGTTGGTACTTTGAAGACTGATATCTGCATTTCTAAAAAAAAACTTGTGGAGTTCATGCCTTAAAGAACTTCAATATACTGTACAAGAAAACCTTTGATAAGGCGCAAAGAAAAGGAGCTTTTTTGACGAAGGCCATCAAGTTCATATGCAAATAGCATAGAGCTTGACTTATCTGCTTCATGGACTGTTTTCCATGTACAGGTACCTTTTCACTTGTGATAAAGGTAATCAAACCACTTTGTTAAAAAGCACAAAGCAAAACATTTGTTGGTTATCGTACTGGCGGCATATATGCAGCCTTTCAAAATTAGCTCAGGCTCATTTCATTTCATCTCTTTAATAAGAGGGCTCAAACTGGTCTAAAGCGCAGCATAAGATTGTGTGTCTGGTCCTATTACCAGTCAAAGGATACCAAGATGACGACTGAAGAGGTATCAAAGCTAGGTAGATTTTGAGGTAATTCCTAATGTATTCATCTTTGGAGTGTCAGAATCAGTTTGTTGTCCTGCTGTAGAGCTGTGTGCTCTGGATGTGTTCAGTTCCTCTTTGTCTTCCTCTGTCTTTAGTTCCTCTCGCACACACTGGAGTGACAGAGATTGTCCTTCTGCATTCACATATACATCTAATCTACTGTGTGGAAGGAAGTCTTGTGGAGGTATACTGTTGGTACTTCAATGCTTTTGTCGCAACCTTTTAGTCTTCTGATAAATGTTTTCTCAAGATGGTTCCAAGCAGAAATCGCAGCAACTTGAAGCTGCCCGTCTCCACAGCGGGCTGAGAGAAGGAGGAACTCGTGCTATTACTCGCTTGTTCCATATATAGATATGGATAAAAATGAAGGTAATTTCCCAAAATATGACAGATTACCTTTAGTCTGTAGAGTACAGTAGCCTGTTTGCTTACAAGGACAATATTAGGACATTAGTGTGTCAGAGACAGGAATCATGAAGGCATAAAGTTGCTTATGTCGTCATGTGTGATGTAAAAAGTAATAATGCTTGCAAAAATATGTGATTGTCGCTTAAAGATAGATTTCGACACATAGATTTTGATGGCCTAGTACGTCGAGTGGTTACTGACTTCTTATGTTGTATCTGATTTAAAGAGGGGATGGGAACATTGGAAATGTGATTTGAATCTATTAGAACATCCACAGGCATTAGTTGTACCAGCCAGATTACAGCCAGTGTCTTTGATTACTTACATTTAGCTTGAATTTTTTGGGTTTGTGTCGGGGATTAGCCTGACTGGTAACTTCTCAAGTTGTTACACAGGCTGTAGCTTATTTAGTGTGATCTTTTCAGATTTCAGTGTCCTTGTTGGTTGAGTTAGGTATTTGCTATGTTCATAGGTTTGTCTCTGTGGTGCTTCACACATGCCATGCTCACACTGCCTGTGTACTCTGTTGCCTAAAGAAAGAACATCCCAGTCCCAGTATATATGAAAAGACCTAACAAATCTGCTTCCTGAATTAAATTACATCAAACTTTAATCAAGTCGATTGCTGAGCAATGTGGACTTTTTGGTTGACTTGTACGTGACACTTGATTACCGGTTATGATAAACACGTTATCATAAACCTGCTTAAGGAAATGGAGTATCCTGAGAACACGACAATAAAGATATGATAACAGCAACGACCTGTGTCGGGGATTTTGGTGGGCTGGAAATGTCCTCCAGATTAATATTTAACAACCATTAGATCTGTTTTGCTTCATGTAACCGGCCCCACAAAATCAATAGCTTTTACTTTTTTGTGTGCGTGTGTGTGTGTGTCCTGTGATGATGGGTCTGACCTTAAGCTGTCCTGTTGGTGCATTCTTTAAGTGTGAAGGACTGCAAGTGTCCTTACAGTGACATTTGTCTGCTGTCAAAATATGTTAATGTGAGCAGGAAGGGTAAAACTAATCTCTGTTGTTTTTTTTCTCCTAACTTTGGAATTGCATTTTTTTATTTGCGATCATATTCTAAGTCTTACATGATGAACACTTGATTCCAGCAGTTCATAGTTTGTTGCATTTGCATACCAGTTTAACACATTGTGTTGCAATGTACATGGTGAACTTTTTATGGAGGGTGTAGGGAGTTTTACTGCCCTTTCAGTCTGTTCTGCAAACTGATAAGGTGATTCCTGCTCCTAACATGGAGCCGACGGATCCTGAAATGTCACCGGGGTAGTTTATTAAACCAGTTGTCCTGTTCAGAAGTTTGTCTTTTCTTTTTCTTGTTTATTTTAAGCCAGCAAGCAAACTGTCCCCCCGTAGTGAACAGCTTCTTGATACCTTTTCCTTATAAATTATGTGACTGTTACATATCGGACAGGCACATCTTCTCAACAATTAACCATCGTTATAAACTTATGACTGGTATGTCAAAGGAAGGTCTTAATGTCTCTGAAAAATTACTCCTGAGCTCAAGGAGAAGGCACAATGAGAGGTCAGTGAGCTCCCAACAGAGCAAAGGCAGATAGATTAGAAGCTTTGCACTTTCAACTGTTTCCACTGTGCAACAGACTTGAGTTAACTCTCGGGTCTCCTGCACACACACAACACACTCGCACACAGATTGCTGTGTTCCTCCGGCTGAGAAGGATGATTAAAGCCGTTCAGCAGCATCTGCATCACCAAGGTGATGAAATCAGACAGTATGACTAAATCTTTTAGTCACAGTACAGGTCTGAAAAAGGTTTAAAGATATTTTAATGAAGTATTGTGACAAAGATTGGCTTAGAGGAACTTGAAACATTAGGCACTCTCAGAGGGATCTTATGTTTGTCTTCCTGTGTCTATGATGAGCAGATAACTGAACTTTTCTATAGGTAAATTAAACCTGAGTCCATATTTGCCTAGAAGCAACTTTCACAGGTGGTATCTTTCTGACTAAAGTCAACACTCACACCCCATAAATCTCTCTGAATTCATTGCCTTAAACACAGTTAAACGTCAGCAGTGGTTCAGTCACAAGAGGAGGAAGGAAAAGGAGGGATGGGAGAGGAAGAAAGAACTCATCTGGCCTTCTGATTAATTTATCTATCTCGTGTGTAGAGTGTGGCATCTTTTTTTCTTTCCATTGCAGACTATCTACCACTTGCCTTTGTGGTGTAGATGACCTGCTTGAGCACGACAGGAGCCTTTGTTGCCCTGTTGACTTTTTATCAGACACTCTTCATCTCTCTTGTCTTTTGCTTTTGTAGAAATGTTGCAGGGCTAACCTCAGTGTTCTGCCAGTGACTCGTTTATTTGTGGAGTAGCTACCCACACAATCTGTCCTTGATCTTCTCTTTCTGTTGAAGGGTGTTGAATTGTGCATTGATTTCTGGATAAAAAACCATTTCAAGCCCAAAAAAGATTAATTCATAATTCATTCTTTTATACAGCCATTCTTGAATTCTTTTGTACGCTCAGAATGAATGAACTCTCAAAGTTAGAGCAGTTTTTCACTTGTACACTCTTGATCTGTTATTTCCTTGGTGAGTCTTGTGACCAGTTCCTGACAGTGTACAGTGTGGTTGAATAGTACTGAGTGGTGTTAACAGTAAAGGGAAGTGCTTTTTTTTTACACTTCAGAGTTAATTCACCATGTGAGATTTGTGTCTTTATGGATGGTATTTAATCAGTGATGTCTATAACTTATCAAGGAAATGATGTAAGTTTTCACGACAGCACTCGGTAGTCAATAGAAACTGGTTGTTAAAGACTGGAAACAGGGAAAGGTTGGTAGTCAGTGGAATGGGACCTGAATGAGAATGAGTTCCCTGTAACGTGTGTTATTTTATTTAATCACACAGTATCAGTGAAGAAGAATTTTGACCAAATAAAATTTCCAGAATTTGTTCTGAATCACTCGTTATTAAATACAAACTGATCTTAACTGAGTGTGCTGTTTTATTATGCCTAAAAATGTGTTATTCAGCTCACACCTCAAAGGATTTTGAGTTTGCAAAGAAAGCATTTAATGGGAATTCAACCTCCCTCGTGAATTTAGCATGAACAGACATCCATCTCTTCACCCTGTGCATCATTATGGTCTGATAGGTTTTGGAGTAGCTGCTGCCAAGTCTAGCCAAGTGACTATGTATTCTGCGAAAGGGCTGTGAACTTTACAGTGAATCACATGCCCAAACATGTTGAATCATATATGCATTCATTTCTTGTTGTTTTGTTATGCTTTAATTTTTTGTCAAGCCAATGATGATGACTTATGTTATGATAAGAAATTTTGAAGACCAAATAATGTCAAGAGCAAGCAGCACAGATGGAGCTTTTTGGCTTTAAAAAAAAAAGTTTTTAAAAATCCATAGCTTGTTTAAGAAGGAGCCCTTTCACTGCCAGACCTAAAAGACTAGATAGACAGGTTTTCAGAAATTCCTGACAATCAGTTTTCTGCTTGATGAGCAAGCATGATAAACCCTTTGGATTCAGGTGTCACTCTGACTCTTTCCAGTCATAATCAATCACCACAGATTGAATGTATAATATCTCAGCTTCTCTCACACTCTTAAAAAGCACAGAAGCGTTTCAGGAAACTGTGTTATCGTGTTGTTCAGATGCCTGAAAGAAGCCCCTCACAATTTAGCTGATTGAAGCTAAGGGATTGCTTCTATTCGTGATCCATTTGACTGTCCATCATGTCAGAGATAATAAATGGATGATCAAAAGGAGGGGGTCAAAGTTTCACCCTAACTACTCCAAGTTAAATTGAGTAATGCAGAGTGCTGACACTCACCTTTAATACTCATTCATTTCTGTCAGCTCACACATACCGCTGAATGACGGGTCACATCATCTAGCTTTCTGTCGAGTGAAAACTTGTGGTTTGCTTCATTCAGACTGCCCTTATCAGTCACCTCCCGGTTACTCATCAACTCCACCAGTTTTGATTCCAGGAGGATTTCCTAATCTCATGATTAGGAAGTGCAACAGCTTTTGGTTTCATGACAACACTTAAAGCTGACGTTCTCTTTTGTCTGCGCTGTGTTTCCACATGTTAACCTTAACTGGTTACACTGTAGTCGGTGCTTTGGTGAGGCCACATTTTGAACTGACATCATTTTCTCTCCTAGCAGGTCAACACAAATAGACTTCTCACACTTAGACCACAGAGTGAGCCAAGACATTTTCGTCTCAGATGGAACTTGTTGCCACTAAGTCCTTAGTTTGAGCACTGAACACACATATGTACACATGACTTTTGGGTAGGTGACTTTAATCAGCTGATAATATTTTGGACGAAACATGTTGCTGTTTTAGGGAGGCCACGATAACCAGATCAAAACACCAAAGCACACTCCATCTGGTAGTTTGTTGTTCAACCCCTTTAAGAAGCTTTCCTGACTGAGCCAAGCTTAACTCATCACCTCTCTGTAATCTGTTACCTACAGCATTTCCCAGCCCTGGGAACTCTTAGATATTTCAACCCAAGGACTTGTTTTTGGTTTGTCCTACCATGTGCTCTGGCTGGTGGAGGTTTATTGTTGCCCATCTGCCTCCACCAATGTCCCTCCCACCCCTCAAGGTTCACTGTTTAACTTAAAAGGGCAGGCAGCAGATGGGGGACTACACAGTCATACAGACTCCAGCAGAGAGGTGACGGGGGGGGGGGGGTTCTTCTTATGTGCATATGCTCAGGGAGTCAAAGGACAGGGTGAGCTCGGTGAAGACAAGTCCTCCAAGACTAGTTTGTCTTTTCGTCTTCATTATACACTCTTCAGTTTAGCATTTGAGCTTTGGCCTTGAGGAAACTGTTCATTGAAAAACTCTGGAATCTTTTTTTTTTTCTTCTTTACCTGTAATATGTTGACTGTTCTTAGAATTAAGCACCATACTATCAGAAATCTTCTATATTCAAATTAGACATGTGAATTTACTTTACTCGCTGGAAGGAAAACAGTTGGCTAAGAATACTTTCTTCGTCATCTCCAGCAGAAGCAGATAAGTTATGGTTGCTGCCCTTTTCCATTCCTTTGAGTAGTGGCCATTGGTAAAATAGATATAGAAAGCCTTGTTTCAATTCAGTGCACCACAGCAAAGTCCTCTCTTTAGTTTCTTACTTTGAAAAGGTATTTTTAGAGGAACATAATAGAAAACATACATAAGCTGTCATTGTATGTAGAATGGTTTGTCAGTTGGAGAAAACAATTTTATGGCATAAAGCCGAAAAAAGGGGGCTTGTTGGCTACAGAGCTTACTTTAATGGAAACAAAGTACGTAGTTTAAGGTCAAGGTTAAGCGTGTGTGGCTAAAGGGATGTACAACATTCAACGTTTTACTTTCAGAGCATAAAATTCCAAGATATGTATTAACGTTACAGCTTACATAAATGGTGAGACAGAAGAGGCATCACTGAAGGGATTTCTCAGTGTCAAGTAAAGAAAACACTACTGAAGGCTTTAGAAAAACTTTTAATACATTCAGGGAGGATAGAAAACAATCGAACCACTTGAAGTTTCAGGGTTTATCTCCTTAAAGTGAAAATAATTAAGAAAAAGAGGGTGAGCTAAAGATCTTTATACAGCTCTGTATGTAAACAGGTTCTTATTTGATCTGTTATTTCTTTCTTAATTGGCGGCATCTAAAAGTGCACGGACTGAAAATGTTCTGCATCCGTCCAGAGAGCTGGACTGTTGCTCTCTGGACTCAAGTCAGCAGTTGTGAAGGGACAGTGGGCAGTCTTGGAATGCAATACACAACAAAAAGGACAGACTATGGCCCATTGTAAGTCATAACATAATTGTTGTTGTGTGTGTTTTTCTTTTTTTTAACTCCACAGACTCCTGTTTTATGTGAAATCTATGAACACTCATTTAACACTCATTTTTCCCTAAACAGCACTTCACACTAAGATCAGTGGAGTAAAAGAAAATGAATCCTCAAAGCCTAAATTATCTCTCTATCTGCCACAAACCTGTTATTTCCATATCATGGTTGGAGTTACAGAAAAAAAAAATTATTTGGTTTTCTGGCATTTGCGTAGGTTTTTTTTATTTTTATGATTTGCTTACAGCTAGCAAGGCTAAGACGTTTCCATGTCTATATGGTGAACTCAGTGGTTAATATAACTGAGGAGTGCACCGTTTCTGATTTGACACTGTGAGCACATGTTATGTCACAAGGAAATACAACAGAAATAACTTGACTTCCTTTTAAAAAAAAAACAATGCTTTAGTTGAATAGTGTAATAACAGAGTGCCACACACAGAGGGCGCTACTTACACACTAGACTGAATTGTGGAAAATGTTAATATATTTTCAGTATTCTGCCATCTGATGGCAGCACAGGTCCTTTGTCTTTCATGCTTACCATTGTTTTGAATTGGATGTAGCCAACAGCTGGTGTGTAATTTGTGTGTTCTTTTTTAATTTTTTTTTTACTTTGTTTGGTACAAGTCACTGATGTAATACTGATCGTCCAACCATGTGGCAACGAGAGCGTGCATGTAACCCAAGGCACACAGTCTCACTGTCTCTGTCCATCTGCCCAGATACTCCAGGACTGTCCAAAGGCCCGTAGGGAGGTGGAGCTTCATTGGAGGGCGTCCCCATGTGCCAACATTGTGCGAATCGTTGATGTTTATGAGAACCTTTATCAATGCAAGAAGTGTCTACTTATTGTCATGGAGTGGTAAGTGCGTAGTGTCAACACAAACACACTCACACACACGAATACCTTTCTGTTTATTTTGGTGAAGAAATTTGTTATATAATTGTTTAATATTGCAGCTTATTATTTTATCATTAAAAACTTGACTGGCAATTGTTTGTAAGACATTTATCATTGATTGAAAGTAAAAGCAGCTTCTAAACAGAGAGATAAGTACTTCATAAAGTTTGTGGTATATTCTCAGAGGCTCATAGAATTGCTTTGTAGTCTGAACTTTCAAGTTGTACCAAATCAAGTTCACGAGACCTGTGACCCATCACCCATGTGACTGGGGAAAAAAGCATTTTGCTTGTTTTGAGTGACACAAAGTGTACAAAACACTGCCGGTACAGTGCTTCTGTGCGCCAGGCCCTGGGATGTTTGATGCCATGGCACGCGTGTTGGACGGACTGTACAGCATTCGTTACGTTTTTTGCCTAGATACCGTTCGTGTCCCATCCGCCACTCTGTTACCATCAGGACCCAAACCCCTGCTGGCTGCATCTGGGTGTCCAATCAGATGACAGATCTAATCATGTGTCCCTAAATCCCATGTCACATGATCTGATCAAACCCATAGCGTGAGTGCTTATTGATACAGCGAATTTACCAATGGAGCCACTCACACAGACTTTGGTGTACTTTGTTTTTATAGCAGATCTCATAGGACATTTGAAAATGGACTCCGTTTTACTGTATGTCAGCTCATGTTAAGATAAAACATTTCCAGGCTATCACTCCCTGCTAATAAAATACAGATTTTGGCAACAACATCGTCAGATAAAATCACTTGTTCCTTTAAAATAAAGATGTCTGTGCTGCATTTGGTGGTACTTTTTATTTAAGATGACCTTTCACACAAAGTTTGATCCAGCAGAATGCGTTTGTTCAGTTCAGCCGTGCAGGATTACAGTGAACGCTGTTGGAATAATTTTGCCTTTCCACTGTGCTAACGTCAGAGACGGTTTCCTTATCATTTGGCAGATATCTGCAAAAAAACATGTTTTTACTGCAGCCGTGTGGGTGTATACATGTGAATGAGTTGTAAGATTAGGATCTCTTGTAAACTGACGACTAAATGTTGATTCAGAATGAATTTTGGTTTGTTTAGGTCATCACATTTTCAGCACATTCCTATGTAGCTCTCAGGTAGACTTTTAAAAAACTTTTTGAAGGTAATGTTTTCTACACTGCTTCATGTTTTCAACATTTATTAACTACTAATTCCTCCATAGTACTATTTATGTACCCCATTAGTCTGTGCCCTGTACATCACTTTAACTGAAACAATATAAATATATATTTGACATGGTCCAGTAACCTTTATATCTTTGCAGTTTGTGCAACACAGAACTTTCACTCAAACAAATTATATCAAAGGGTAATCTGATCTGATTTCGTCCATCAACATGTCCAAACTAAGTAAAATCTTTACAGGTGCCTTATATGACGGCAGGCTTCCTTTCTACATGTAACAGTAGAAGTTTGTCGAATTACTTAAAAAAAAAAAAAAAAAGATCAATTCAATTTTTTTTTTTTTGTAACCGCAGTCTGCACTTTCTAGTGTTGTCATAAATAGGCCACCCTGTTTGAAGGTGAGAATCATTTCTCTTTCATCTTTATTCATGTCACATTTTAGCAAGTTAATTTATTGTAAATCTGCTCTTGGTTACCTCAGAAAAAATGACCCATTTCTTCTAAATGAGGGGAGTGTGCTTTCCTTGTCTTTCTATTTTCATCTTGTTGCTTTCTAAACCACCAAACCCCCAACAACCTGTAACGTGCTTTCATTCAGTCTCTGGTTAGCATTGTAGTGCATGGGGAGTGGACGTGTCTGCCTACATGCTCACATGCAAAAACTCTTTAAGTGATGACTTGCTTCCCCGAGCAATGGTCTCATCTTAAATGGCAACGAAAGGAGTCGTTTTTCTGCTGACACTCAAACATTTCCTAGAATATCCCACTAAAACGATACTTCAGACTTGGTTCTCCTTCAGCTACCACTGATGAGTCATTTATTCAGTCTGACCTAAATTTGACTGTTTAATATATTGACCACAATTTCTGATAGTGGACAACATTATGTGAATATTAAATAACAGAATACGTACAATTTGAATTGTATATTCTATATAAAAACATACATTTAGAAGTTAAATATTAGAAAAATGTAAGAAGACAAAAAAGGCAATGGTTGAAAAAAGATCTATGAAGGATTGAATAATGAATCTGGAATATGGTGTGTTTTCATTTAACTTTTTTTTAATTTAATTTAATTTTTTTCACCTAAATGCTTTAATGCCTCCATCTTATCTATCATTTTGATTGGTGTTCGACTGTGCATGAGGTGGGAAAGAATGTTGAAAGGCATCAGGGTGTCTTGATTTTTTACTTTTGTGGTAGAAAATGCACAGATACTGCAGTTCATGAAAATCATGAATTGTATGACGAGAAGTCACGCTTCAGACAACATTTTTCAGAAATGCAGAGGAACTAGGTGGGGTTCAGACACCTCACGAATATCTCCTCACTACTTTGAAAAAAGATCAGTGTTAGATCATTTGCATAAGTGAGGGATTGCCTCGCCTCTGGAGGCTTCGACGGTCCATTTATCAGTACGCACAACGTAAATGGTTTTGAGAAGTCTGCGCCGTGGGACAGCCCTGAGAAACCACATAGTCTTTGAGTCTGCAGCTTTTCTGCTCCCATCGACACTCGTTGCCTGAGGAACTGGTTTGTGGTATCACGAACCTCTAAACACAGATATGAAATTGGTAATGATGATTGCATATGAAACTCACAGTCATACAAAGCAATAAGATTAAATGAAACTTATCAAGTGAGCACAGCTTTCTCAAACTGTCAGTGTGTTGTCTTGTTTTATTAAAAATGTAATTGACTAAAATGTATTTTTTCAGCCGTGAAGCAAAGAGTTTATTGATGACAATCGGCATGGTGCCTCTTAAAAAGCCAACACTAAATGGAAAACAGTGGAGGGACTAAAATGGATCAGACCATAGCTCAGTACAGCATCACCGGTCCAGCCAAAAACAAGCAGCGGTTCAAACTTTCTTTTTTTGGGATTCCAGCACAGTGACGCCTCCTTTGATTCTGCTGAGCAATCCTGAGAGATGAGCACTAAATTGTTATTTTCTTTAGTTTTTCAAACGATGTGTACCAGTTTGTTGTACTAATACATACAAACGCACTCATGAAACAGCTTGAAAGTCTGGGAACTGGTATTGTGGAAGGGTGTACAGCTCCAGAAATTAAGAACGTCGTTTGAACAGCTATTCAAAGGTATTTTAACTGTGAAAATGGCTGTTATCTCACAACGGCTACCAGCATGCAATGTTATTCTCAGAATAAATGTTCCTGTTTTTGTATATATGATATTCTATGAAACCAAATTTGTCAATGTAAAGAGAAAATTCTCCTACTTACCAAACATAAAAGCAGAGAGCCTCTTCAGTCTATGTCTTTATTTGTAGGGCATCAGTTTAATGCAGATGCTGTTACTGGAAGTCCAGTAATATTCAAATGCTTGATTATTTTAGCTGTGAAGTCAAACTTCCTTATTTTTCATAAATGGGATGTTGAGACCTAAATTTTGTCTATTGAATATTAAGCATGAGAAGGTGTCAAAGGCTTGTGACAATCAACTAAGCAGAGGGATTCCACTTTCAGATATTTAGCATTACTGGAAAGACTTGCGTGCCAAATAATATATCACTGAGTATATTTATGCAATATACTTGCTACTTGCTTCCCAGAATTCTTTGGCAGCATCGTTGCATGCAGCAGATGAGTAAAAAAAAAGCGAGGTTTCAATGCTTCCAGCTGTTGAGGGTATTGAACAATCTATAGATCGCTGACCTATTTCCTTTTTATAAAAAGAAGAGTTTGCCAACAGACTGCAGATGTCTCTTTCTGGCAGACAAAGATGATAAAAAGGAAGAAAACTTGAAACTGCTGCTTGTCATGCGGCTGAAGTAGTTGGACTAGACCTTACATCATGGCGGGCAGTTTGGGTTTATGTCTTTTTTCATCTCTAAAGCATTCACACAAAGGTCCTAAATTTCAGAATTAGCTGCAGCTTCCCCTTCATACTGATGCCACCATTGCAACACACCAGGTGACATTTTAGGGCTGCACATATGATGCAGCATATTTACACACCCTGCTTTCTTTGTGTTTGTTTTCCCCAGTATGGATGGCGGAGAGCTTTTTAGTCGAATCCAGGACAGAGGAGACCAGGCCTTCACTGAGAAAGGTAACAAGTTTTTATTTTTTTATTTTTTTAAATATGACTCCTTGGTTCAGATGTAGGATGGAACTTAGTTAAACACGCACAATTGGGTCATAGCTCAATTTATAACCCCAACTCGTGGGCTTCATCACTGCAGATCTTTTTGACATTCGCTTTAGTTCGTCCGGCCAGGATGCAGAAGTGGCCAGTGTGTTTGTCATAATCCGTCACTTTGTTTGAAAAAGAGTCATCTGTTTATGTACTTCAGAGGCATCAGATATCATGAAAAGCATCGGAGAGGCCATCCAGTACCTGCATGCAGTCAACATCGCACACAGAGATGTAAAGGTTTGTGTCCTTTGCATCATCGTACTATGGAATATTACAAATTTCACCTTTTTTTTGTTGTCTAGTTTCAGTTGTTTTATATAACCCATATTAGATGTGACTAATCTATTTTGCCAAATTTCTGAATACTTTCTGCAGCCAGAGAATTTATTGTATTCCTCTAAGCGGCCCACTGCTCTGCTGAAACTCACAGACTTTGGTTTTGCCAAGGAGACCACTACCCACAACTCTTTACTTACCCCCTGCTATACACCCTACTATGTTGGTAAGGATGCACTTCATTATTTGGTCATGTTCACTCCATTTGTAAAACAAATACCCTCACCATTTGTTGTCCCCCTTTCCCTTCTCTCTCCTTTCTGTCTGCAGCACCAGAAGTTCTGGGTCCAGAGAAATATGACAAGTCATGCGACATGTGGTCTTTGGGTGTCATTATGTATATCCTGTAAGTCTCTTCATCTCTCTGATCCCAGCATCTTTTATCACGCGCAGAATCTAATATTACGGCTCTAAATGTTCCACAGACTGTGTGGGTACCCTCCGTTTTATTCAAACCATGGTCTAGCCATCTCACCTGGGATGAAGAGGAGGATCAGAATGGGTCAATATGAATTTCCCAACCCTGAATGGTCTGACGTGTCAGAGGAAGGTAAGACTGTAGATGTAAAGTAAAATCTTAGGTTAAAATATAAAAACAATGCGTAATATACCCTAGTATTTTCTAATTGCTGAAAAAAAACACTATTTTATGGGATTATTATTTAGCTGGGGCTCAGAGATGACGCACCACATCCCAACCCCAGCCCCTGCAAGCATATGAATATAAATGGTGTCATTGAGAGGAAAAGCCTGTGGCATAGTTAAGAGTGAAAAAACATTTATTATCTATCGGATCATTATCACTTCATTTAAGCAGATCATATTCCCCACGCTGGAAAAAACTGAATCACCATGCAAACTTAAACGTCACTCTTAATCAGCTTCTAATGTTTTCCATGACGCTGTAACATTTAGAAGCAGAAAGAGGTGCAGGTTTTCCTTCCTGTCACCCTTTTTGTTATGTTTCTGGTAAATTTAGAGATGAAGCACAGCAATATTAACGCTATGCAGATTTATTTGTTCGGTACCACTTTGAGGCCTAACCCAGTCCATGTTCGAGGCTGTGGACATTCTAAACACTGGGACACTGGTGTAAAAACCAATCGCATCAAGGGAAGACGAAAAAAGTCAATTATGTAAATGATGCAGGATGTGAACAAAATTGCATCAAATGCGTAAGGTGTGTGGTCTGACTATTAAACCCAGAATAATTGGGGTGAATAGCTTGGGGTTAAAGCATTCCCATCATGCACTGAGCACTTCCTTTTTTCTATTTTCACTTTCCCGTCAACTCTGTGATCTTGCCATCTATATTTTGATCAAAACTGAAGTACAAGTTAGTACATGCATCGCTATTCAGTGCGAGGGAATTGTCGCCATCAGATATGAAAAGAAATCAGAAATCATGTCTCATGGCTGTACCCTTTTGTAAGCTCCTTCCTAAGAGACGCTTATCTGATCAAGAAATTGAAACTGATTTGTGTTTCAGCACATATTTGCAGCTGTCGCTCAACAGTTGAAAGTGAGGCCTTCTTTTTTTCCAACCAGCATATTCTTTTAGATGAAAACAGAAGCTAAGTGGTATTGGTTTCCAGCAAAGTAGAGAGATAAGTATTCTCTGCGTTGTGCTTAATACACGACAGTGTATCAGTCTACAGCCTTCTTTAGAGTTTTAGTCAACAGCGAAGAAATCCTTGAAAAGATGATTCTTCTGGCTACTTCCTGTGGAGCCTCCCACGCCTTTGACACTCAACTTTTCCAATACATTCCATCCGTTTATAATAACAGTATATTGAAGCTCAACTTTTAAACCTTTGCATTTACTTTTGTTCCACTTATACACTTTCCTTTTTGACGTCATGGAAAGAATGAGCCTTGAAAATGATTTAATCAAGTGAAACAAAAGTATATATCTGTTGTGTTTGCAGCTAAACAGCTGATCAGGACCCTCCTAAAGACTGAGCCGACCCAAAGGATGACCATCACCGAGTTCATGAATCATCCATGGATCAATGTATGAGAATCCAATGCAAGCTTCAGCTCTCTGTCTTTTGAAGCTTAATGTTATTTTTTTAGAGCTGGCTGACATCCCCACAGTAATGTTAGACTGAGATGGTTTTCTGTGTGTCCCGTACAGCAGTCAATGGAGGTACCCCAGACCCCGCTTCACACCAGCCGGGTTCTAAAGGAGGAGAAGGATGCATGGGAGGAAGTCAAGGTGAGACGTGTGGTTTTCTTTCATACATCTAGATTTTTCTCAAGTATGATGAAAGCTCAGCGGTAGTTTAACCCAGTAGTTAACATGCAGATTAGTTCCTTTCAGGCAGCATGTTTGATTTGTGATGTATGTGATTAGGAAATTACTTTAATTCTCTTCCTTTTTATTGTGTTGAGCCATCAACATCTTACTTTAATGCCAAGGCTAAAGCTGTCTTCCCAAAGAAAACTGAAGATTTAATGAAAAAGACTGCAGCTCTGATGTGAATGAACTGATTTAGAGTACAGCCAGGACATAATGGTGTAAAGCTTAGTCAGTGGCCTTTAAAAAAAAAAAAAAAAAATTGTACGAAATAAACTACTACAAGGTTTCTTCAAGGTTTATGTTATGTGTTTGACTAATAAATGGATATCTGATCTTTCTTGTGTCATTTAATAGTTTCTTCTTTGGAACTAAGAACCTAAAGATTGAGGCTTATTTCTGTCTCATTCTCCTGCCTTTTACCAAGCCAGCCCCCTCTCTGGGAAAGCCTTTAATAAAAGTGTGTGCTGTGCGCATTACAATCTCTCAGGCCAACTTTGGAGGAGAATGTGTTAAAAAAAAATGTTTTCATTTGATTTGCTCCTGAAAGTCGGTGGAGTGAACTCTTCTGTCTGTACAGGAGCAGCAGTTTGGTGTATAAAGCAACAGCCTCATGACTCGTTCTTTGTTTCTCAGGAGGAAATGACCAGCGCCTTGGCTACGATGAGGGTCGACTATGAGCAAATTAAAATCAAGACCATCGAGGACTCGAGCAACCCACTGCTAACAAAAAGGAGAAAGAAAGCCACGAATGCCATGCCAGACCCGCAGGCCGCAGCCCACTGAAAGATGCTCGTTTGCATGCGCAGACAAACACAGGTTGTTAAAAGGAAGCAATAATTTGTTGAGATGAGTCCCATTGCATGGATTTTCAGTGTTTTATTTTTTTTGGGCAAATTCTAATCTTTTGTAAGAGTTTTTTTGTTACTCTACCATTTTAACAAAGTCATCATTCTGCTCCACCAGAACGAAGAGTTGGAGCTTGTGTTTTCACACCAGAGAAGATTATAAATTGGTAAAAGGGGGAGGAGAGAGAGGGCTGATTTTTCTCCTCCTCTTTTCCGAATATCAGGTTGTGTACCCCAAGGGGCTGGAATGTTGGAATAAAACAAGAAGCCTCAGCATTAGTTTTTTCCCCCACAGCCCCAAACATGTGAATGTTAGGACATTGCTAAATCCCAAAAATAGAAATGAGGGAAGGTGATTTTTTTTTTTCTTCCTGTACATGCAGAGTAAGCAGATGTATTTTGAACTGACAGTGGAATGTAAGGAATCTGCTTTTGACTGGTGGAATCAGCCAGAAGTGGATGCTAATTTCTGGAGTTTTGTCTGGGAGTGCCTAATGAATGCTGACTGGAGGCCTATGCACCCCCAAGGGCCACGTGCCACTATGACCGAGCACCTCACTCACAGCCCCTCTCTCCTACCGTAACCCATGCTTGTGTATCAGGTAGTTTTAGGACAGAGAAGACGTTTTTATTTTGGTTTTGTTTCGTTTTTTTTCCTTGTCAAAACGGTCTCTTCTTTCTTTTGCATGTAGCTTACTGGAGAGCAGGAGGCAAATGATACTGTATTTTGTCATGGATTTTATGAACGTTTTAGCATAGGCCTTACTGAGTATTGTTAATCAGAACATGGCTTTTAACCCCCTCTTTTATTATTATTTTTTGGTTCGTGCTTTTACCCATTCTATTGCTTTAAAATCTAAAATGTTACCAGCTAGTATTTCAGGTTGAGCCTATGCAGATGTATTTGTCAGCTTGAAATAGTGTTGATACCTTTGGGTTGGGGTTTTCCTTTCTTGCTACCGTGCTGGGGAGATGTGGAGCTACATTACTCCTTTGGGTTTATGTAAGCAGCAGCTTTCCAAACAGTGTAGAACTGCTGCTTGCACTGGCCAGCGGCCCTCACTTTCAGCTCACGTACTGCAGTGGGCACTACCTGGAGGACCGATGGGGAGTAGAGAGTCTGACATACCACCAGCAGGCTGTCACGGTATATAGCGGTTTTATCCATTTTCATTTAGGACAGGACGCTTCCTGCCTCAGGTGGCATCATGAGATATACATGTTTTTGTCAGTTTGGTTCACCTCGCTTTGTAAAGTCACTTCCACGACAGTGTTTGGATTGCACCTACAAATCTATCACAGTAAAAATGTTCACTGTATGTTTGACTTTTTTTTCTTCTTTTTTTTTTCCCCAAACACATTTTTGTAGTTGAAGCACAGATGCATCTATCTGTACTCTGAGCTCTGTTCAGCTCCACCTGCTTTACTTTTGTCTGCTTCAGCTTTGGATTAAAAAAAACACATAAAACAAACCTGCTCTTTTTGTTCTTAAAAAGCCGAAGTGTGACCACTGCTACATCTGCAAAAGAAAAGGTTTGATTTGCAAGAAACGCCTTTAATATCAAAGATAGAGATGGAGAATGAATCCACCATTTCCTTTTGTCAAGGCTTTGGATGTCACACAAGTCATAAGTTAAATGAATATCCACAGATTTTCAACTTGTCCTTTACCTTACTTTAGTTAAAAACATACAAAGTTAACTGTATTTCCGACTTATCGGACCTATGCTTACACTTGTAGAGGATTTTTCAATTCAGTTGTGTCTCCTGCAATGACTCAGCTTGTTTTTGGCTCGGGATTTGTGGCTTTAGCGCGGGGTGCACAGACTCAACCCGTGACATCCTTGCTAGCATGAGTGACTCCTGGAATATACGCTTTTGCGTAGCAAAACGGCATCACGGCATTGAGTCAACGCACATTTGCCAACACTGGGGTGTTTAATGCAAGTTTCCCGCTCGCGCACGTTGTTGTTTCTCCTCAGGTGCAGGGCGACCGTAGGCTTTGAGCCTCCTGCTCTGAGTGTGATGAAACCCACAGTCATCTCTGTCACACTCGTCTGCCAGGTAGGACACAACGGGAGGGGGTAAATGGGGCCTCTGGGGAGTCCCGATGGGGGCCCGTGGAGGTCTACCTCTTGATTTGAAACCGCAAGACACACACTGGTTTGCTTTTTAACCCCCCAAAAAACTTAAGCCTGAGCTCCGGTGAGGGGATTGGGACAGATCGTGTGGTGAGAACGTCACCAGCGTGGGGAGATGGAACTCGGGACATTTCAGAAGTACGTGCCATACTGAGTTGTAGAAGTTTTTTTTTCAGAAGTGTGCATCGTCACCAGCAAAGGAAGTGGCACAGCACATGCACACGGTGCTCCTTTCACAAAGAGGAGAGCCAAGGGATCCGTTTCCCACTTTGGAAATGGCCCCTAATTTGGGCCCCTGGCGGGCCATTGTTGTGTGGCGCCTTTTTTGAAGTTGTGAGGAAATGTGCAAGGTGTTGACTTCTCAGCTGAGGCGGAAACACACCGCATAGATTTCTTTGAAGTGGCATGCCGTTCTCCTCAGACACACACACACCTCCTACAAGACTGACTGACCCAGACACGCTAGCAACAGAGTGTACTCTCAACCACAGCCTGGTGAACTTTAGCAGACTCAGTTATCAGGTTTACATGTTCAACAGAAGCTGCTGAATGTTGGCATGTGCTGGGAATCCAGTTGTTCTCACTGCCGGGTGCACTTTGGTCTACATTTTGTGGTTTGTGTGGTTGCTTAGATTCTTGACTGATCCTTTTTTTTTTTTTTTTTTTAAAGGGGTAACTAATTTAAACCTAACTTGTGGGTCTTCCAATAATCTTTGTGAAAGAACATGTTAAACAAGTTAAGACTGTATGAACTTTAAAAAAAAAGAGTGATTCAGTCATTTCATTTAGTATTTAAAACAGTCAAATAAGTGATATTACCTTTTCTCTGTTAAACATGTCTTAACTTGTGCTTTTTAAAGTACTTTGACTCTGACAGTCAAGTAGAGGACCTTGCCATACTTTGGACTCCTTGTGCTTTTCCAAACAGACTGGGTGCCTTTAAGATCAACTCTTACCGGAAGTCATCATGAAGCCTTTCGTAGTTGCTGAAGGTACTTTGTTTTTAGTCTGAGAATCACAGACTAAAGGAAAACTAAAGAAGGCTGAAGCCTTTTTGCCTCACAGTGAGTTAGGAGTATAGTGGACATGCTGATGGACACTGGCACTGTCTGTTCAGTTATGCTCCTTTGACTTGTATAAGATGGTGACCATCACTTCCAGGAAGTTTGACACTTAACAGTACAGGCTGTAAATTTAGAAAAAGAGGAGGGGAAAAGGACCAACAATGCAAAGTGACAGCCATACTTGGTCATGTCCGCATTCAGGAAGTACACAGGGTTTTACTTATTTCACAACACAATTGCCTTTTTCTGAGCGTGTGTATTTGGTGTTGTGAAATCCATCTATGTCACACTCTACTCAGAACTAGTCTCGTTCTAATGACAGGCATTTTCAGACACCAATGCAAAGTGGGCTTTTATTCTCTTTAAAGGCTGCTACACTGGACTGGTCTCTGGACTCCATACACATGCTCAACATCTTACACATTTCTACGTAGAGACTGCATCATTTCACAGCAGAATAGTCACAACGTTGGAGTTGCTTGAATCATCAGAAGATGGAATTGAGTGCACATCTCAAAACAATGGAAATCTATTCATTAAAAGAATGACTCATCATTAATGTCAACGAAGCACTCACCATTTCTTCTTAATTACCTCCAAAGAGCAAAAATGTGTGTAACTGCTTTCTGGTAAAAAACACAGCACAGCACTTAAAGGTGACTTGACCTTTTTAACAATTTGTCAAAATTTTTAAGGTCTAGTTTGGATGAATAAGAAAGGTGGTGGTCAGCCAGATTGTTTTAAGAGCAGTGCCTCTTGTATTGGCCCCTCTTTTCATTAAAAATATTAATCAAAAGTAGTCAGAACTTTTAAAAATGAGCTTTACTTCACAGAGCTGTAAGTGGTGTGTAACGGCAGCACTCTGGCAAAGTCTCGTTTAATCTTTTTTTTTTTTTTAACCCTGCCTTGAAACCACAGCATTCTGAGCAGCATGTGCACACTCATTCCAAAACATGACATTATAGTTTTTACACGAGGTTCAAAGTGTAAACACCTGTTTTGGAAACAGCATTGTTAAGGCTTATTCAATACTTCCTTTAGCAGTTTAAACAAAGTGATCCACACTATCCATCCTATAGGAAACGTCCATAAACGCCGGTTAAAATAAGAGTCTTGCCCTGCAAGCCAGTTGTTATGAATGATATCATTTCACATGTACTCTCATTGCCGAAATGATACTATTCAAATCAGCCCACACTGACGAAGCAAATGACTAATTAAATGCCTTGGAGTAGTTTCAGTGCAAAACCTGATGCCATATCAGGAGTCAGTGAGACGTGCCTTAAGTCACTTGTCAGAGGGATGCACATCGAAATGTGTTTTTGAAATTCTTATTTAAGGTTTTGATGAGTAGCTGATGAAACCATTCAAATCAACAGTTATCCAACTGGAGCTCCGTGAGTGGACAGAGTTGGCTATGCCACTTTGTCTAACCCTGTTTGACAGTTCTGTTTAATATGTGCATGTGTGTGTGTCTTTGTGTGTTCCCATGCATGATTTTCTTTTCTGCAAGAGTGCATATGGCATGAGTGCGAGGCTGGCTAGTTGCAATTACGGTAAGTTAAGACACAGCACGGCTGCTGCTGGTAAGTGATGTATATGGGTCACGTTTGAGGTTAGTGCATCAGTTTGTTGAGTTTACACTATGGTTTGCCGTATACATCAACGACATGTACTTGTACTGCAGTGCTGCAGGATGTGATTCATATGTTCGGCACATAGCCGGTTTCTCATACCGTCACAATAGCAGCATATCGTCCAACTGAAAAAAAGCTATGAGAAATACTTCCTCTGATTCAGAAAAGAAGCACAACAAACACAAAATCTTTTTTTAAAAAGTTTCTTGTAAAAGAAATAAATATTTCAGTTTCATACATTAAAATACATTTTCTCTCATTTCATTTTATGTGTACAAAATATATGGCTCTTTAAAATATACGACACTGTAAAATAAATTTGTCCATAGGACAAAAACCCAAATTCCAGACTTCCAGCAAGAAAGACAAGTTGAACTCGTACAGGATGACAGGCATTTGTCAAAAAGAAAATAATTCGATGTAAATAGATGTTAGTCAGCAGGTCCTCAAGCAGAGCTCCCCAGGTTTCCTTTCCGTTTCGATGCAAGGTATGTCTCTATGTAGTTAAAAAGCAGGTCCAGTTCCCCCATGGCTTTAAACATCCCTCTGTTCTCCATCTGAAAGCAAACACAAGGGCCATCTATTTAATACATGAAGTCAAATCATCTATTTAATACATTGATTTAGCTTCATTTTTGCATTATAGTGGTGAGAATTACAGCAACACGTAGCTTTAAAAGGTGATGTCAGCACTCACCTGGGTGTATGTAGTGTTCAAGTCTTTGATGTCAAAATGCTTCTTGCAGGAGAAATAGTGTCTCTGGAAGATGGAAACAAATAGTCATTAGGTAAAGAAATGATCTGGCTTTATTATACCCGATATTCAGGTGAGAGTATTTCCCCTTTGCCTATTTAATATGATCTGATGTATAAAAAAAATACAATAAAATAAAAAATACAAATGAAAATGTCTTTACAATTTACATTGAGATCTGAAGCTTTAATGGTCTGAATATAAGTGTAGAGAGACAAATTAGAGACTAACTTACAAACATTACTGCATTTGTCAAAGAATAGCCTTTCTAGGTGTGTGATAAGAAGTTAAAAAGCAAATGTAGGCATGGGATCAACATTTCTCTTTCTAAAGAAGTTCTTAAATTACTGCTATGCCTGTCATTGTCACCCTTGTCCACGTTGGAGGCAGAAATGTGTCAGGCAGCTACTCACACATTTGGTGACATCACTCTTGAGCTCGTCGAAAATCTGTTGGATGGATTCCACGTGCGGCTGGAGCTCCTTCGTGTCCTCCGTGACTCCGGACATGGCCGTCGGCAGGACAGTCCTCAGGTAAAAGTCCAGTATGCTGTTCATGGTGTGGCAGGCGAACGGGCTCTGAGGAGGAGGAGAGAGAGGAACCGCTTTAACTGACGCCTTTCCCTTTTCTCCCCAAGGCGCGCACTGCGCCAGTGGAACTCCACTCCACATCCGAGAGGATTCCGTTTTGGGCTACGAAAACAAACTCGAAATTGTGGAGAAAGTTACCTTGAAAGAGTCCTCGACGGTTTGGTCTAGCAGCACAGAGTCGAAGTCATCGTTTGCCTCCTGCAGAGAGATGGAGAGGTGCGCAGTGAGCGGGTGCTTGGTGCGCAGAGGAGGGGAGCGCAGCGTCACTCCGGGAGCCTCCTGCCCAAATGACGCTGCGCAGGCAGGCGTTTACTCACGTAGAAGTCTCTGATCCGCGAGTAGTCCTCCCTGAGCCTCCTGAGCCTGACGGGGAAGCTCTCCACGAAACGGCAGCACCGGTCTTTGCACAGCGGGTAGCTCCGGCAGGTGCCGATGAGAAACGGGAGGACCACGGTGAGCAGGAGGAGGAACCGAGGAGTCATGCTGTAGGGCTTCTGGCTGCTGAGGACTGCTGAGAGCTGCTGAGGGCTGCTGAAGACTGCTGAGGACTGCTGAGGACTGCTGAGGACTGCTGAGGACTGGAGATGCCGCTCGGTCGGTGGACGTGGAGGAGGCTCCGGCTTCCTGCAGGTTGCTCCTTGCAGATTTTTTTTAGCTGAAAAGCTTGGAAGTGGCAATATTGAGCACATTTCTTGTCTTCATTTATAGTCAAACTTGGCACAGATTTGGTGGGAGGAGACTTACAGGAAAGGAAATAGTTAACTTCATACTTCATTCATAGGGACTTTTTCGAATGCATGTATTACATGTGGTCTACTCCGCCCCTTAACCACTGATAGATCTAAAGGAAATATCTGATGAACATGGAAATGTCATATGAAATTTATTGATCTGGTTGAATTCAGTGCAAATGCAATATCTAATTTACCACTTCAACCAATACATATCAGCGTATATTAATGACGATACTAATAATGATAATAATACATGCTTTTTAATGGTATAGTAGTAATATCTATAGATATGGTGTGGAAACGAAATCTACCCAAACACACTATTAGCACCGAGGAAAACATCCCAACTGGTGGTCCAGTTTAAAATGGTCCTTTTGAGCTGTTTTTAATGTAGTGGCATGGGCATTAGGTAATTCTTTGGATTCTTCACAATAACAAAGGAAATATTGCCACCAAGCTGGAACACTATATCAACCTGTGGTTAGGCGCCGATGACGCTGTGGATTCTCTCTGTCTGCATGCGTAACTGAGGCAGGTGACGGCTGAAGGCGTCTGCGGGCGTGTGCTGTTTCTGCTGCCTATCTGAGTTCTGCATAAGGTTTTTTTCAACCAAAAAAAAACTATTTCTAAATTGAGAAACCTCAGAAAGAAATGGTTTTGTACTGGCAGTAGCGTAAGGAGTATTTCCCCAACATTTGCTGGTGTGCGGAATGTCCTCCTCTCCACTGTCATCTCTCTGTTTCCCTGCCCATCTGCGTTGGGCAACATTGGTATTTTGAAAAGTCTTGGTAGGGATCATTCCTGGTTGCTATTTGTATGAGGCAGACTGAGTACTCTTTTGAACCATTTCCTAACGATTTGTGAAGGGTCAAGTTGGGGTTAATTTTCCAGATCAAGCGTGTGTCATTCTGAAGATAACCCTGCATTTTTCCCAAAAATAATGTCAACACAGAGGCCTGGAACAGGGAGTACAGCCTCAGCACAGCGTCAGTTCAGGGATTACATGCTGCTTTTTTTATTCAGACGTCTGGGATCTTTTTCTGTGGAAGTTTTAAAATGCCAAAACTAAAATACATGAACGTTTAAAAAACAAAAAAGATTCCCACTAATAAAACAATTAAATTTGGCTATTACGTTTATGTTTAACTAGAGAGTTGTGTTGAATGTTAATATTTTTTACCCTAATTATTTGACATAGTTAAAAGGGAATTACTGCACGTTATAAGGTTTAATTTCTTTTGTCCACCTTATTTTCGCCACACACAGAAAGGTAGGGAGGTGTGTGGTAGTCATAAGACTAGCGTGAACGTTACTGACCATCTCACTTTTTTCTTTAACAAATCCATCAGTGCAAAAAAATGAACGCCGCCGTCCTTGTATGGGTTAACTTAAGGAAAGGAGATTACTATTGACAATTCTGGAAGTCATAATTGTGGCTGATTATTCAGGTAAATTGTCATACAGATTTCCAGTCAGAAGATCAGGCTGATTCAGTTTGAAACAGCAACTAATTGCAGTATGATCACTTCAGAAATAAAATTGCAAAATGACAAAAAGATTTCAACTTCACTACATTGTGGTGCTTCAAGAAAGGTGACGTGGTTAAAAAACACTTGTCAGATGAAGCACCAGTTTTCAGTTTGTTAATAATGACAACACCTTTCAAATGCGCAGGATTTTTACATAAAGTTGATTTTTTCCCCACCTAAAGTGATTAAATAAATAAACAAATACAACTCTAATGGACAGGCATTTTGGCAATGCTATTGAATTTCTAATCAGATGTACTAAAGTTTTTTTTAAAGATATTAAGCAACTTCTGCGCTTTGATAGGGCGATGATAGTCCATACATAAAATTACTGAGTCAGCAGAAACCAATTTGAGGGGCTGGGAAACCCCCCTAGACTCTGGCACTGACTATAAACGTGAATGTGTACATGACAGTTATGGTCCAGTGATTAAAGTTGTGTTTTATATGCCTCTGCCCCTTTTGTCGAAACTCGAATTGCGGTTTGGGGTGACTGTGTGCATCGTACTATACGATGAGCTTTACTATGAATGTGCATTACTGAAACACCAATCACCTTTGGACAGCGTGTGTCATTTTCACAATGACCACGTAGACTGACAGAGAGTGAAACGCCACAAATGAAGTTTGGAGTCAGTGCTTCACAGAATTGAGCTGTCATCGCAGTACCCAGATTAGTATTACGTCTCCCATCTGTCATTAGATAACACGTTAGAGGTTTCAGGTAATAGAAAAAGGGGTCACTTAATGGTTGAATGGATTTAGCATTTTTCAAGTTGCATTTTGCAACTCAGTTATTACCACACAAAGACGATAAAGAGAAAATAAACCCGGTTATCTTTTAGTTTCACAGCAGGGTGTCGCAGCTCTGTGTCATCGGTCCCGTTGAGAATTGGGCCGTTTTATCTGTCAGCTGAATCAGGGCTTAACCCCTCACCTCCGAAGCAGTTTCAGTGCTTCCGAAATCTTCCCTCAGCAGTTTTTGAGCACATAACCTGAGAAAAGACGGCCGATATCACATTGAGTTTGTTCAGCCCATCCCTCAACTGCTGGATGATTCACAGTAAACTAGCAAATCACATTGGGTTGAAAAGGCTGTTTTGCATTAAAAGTCTAAACTGTGAGTCCCTGCGATTTGCAGATCCGATTAGTTTCACAGTGTACTACAGTTACGCCTTTGTGTTTCCTCAGCTGTGTGCGTCTCAGTTTCTCACATTCTGTCCGCATAGTGTACTTGAGAACGTTACCCTTTGAAAAGGAAATACACTTTGCCTTACCAACAGACTCAGCACATTCCTGTTTCACTTTCACACCACCTCGTCCGTTTACTTTTGTATGCATGTGTCGATTGACTGGTCTGTTTCTGTTATTGTTTATGTTGGGAAGCAGTGGAGGTAAGCACAGACAGAAGCATGAGGACCCCTCAGAAATGCCCTGTTGTTGGCGCTTTGTGAAACCAGGACAGGATCCTGGTCCACTTCTCATGGACACTCAAACTCTGATAACATACTGGCATATCATGGGACACCTAACAGACCATGATCTGGCCGGGCAGAGGCCCATTTTCAGAAATGCACTCATTGGAAAAGCCCTTTTTTGTATGTTTTGTTTGAATGACCCTCAAGAGTTTCTTTCCACTGAACTAATGATGGTGAATGTGGGCAGTTTTCACGATAATGATAATGACCACATCCCATCATCTGTGATGAATACATTGTGGTTGTGTTGGTGAGGGGTCAACTTAAAAAAAAAAAAAAAAAAATTGATGCTAACCTCATAACTGACTAAAATTTCCTGAGAAACCTTCAACTGAAGGCCAAGTTCTGCTGTGTCAGCATCTATCAAGGGGAGACGAAACTCTGAAATTTCCTCTCTGCGTGTCGTTCAGTTATTGCAGAAGTTTTTTGCGTTACAAATTTGCGCTGGCACAACCTTTCTGGTTCAGATGGTAATTGGAACACCAAAGTTTGATGTTTGGGTCCAAGTGCGTAAGTAGATCCACCCAAACGGTCATTTGCATAAGCGCACTTCTACGGTGTTAACCGCACCTAACATTTACAACAGCTCAACTCGTTGTGACTGCTCATAGTTTCCCAGTGCTTTCGAACAGAACAATGCTGAAAATATCAGATTCTTAACTCAGTTTGAATAATGAGTCAGAATTTTTTGTTTCCCTACAGTGGGATCCGGAGGCCTGACGGTGCTTCTATGTCACAGTTGGTCGTTTGCTTCATGACTCATGGAGAAGTTTATATTGGTACCAAAAAGTGCTTAATAAAGACTAAATGACTGGTATTGCGTAATGATGCTAATCTGATCCATTCATAAACCAGCTACTTCCTGATGCCTTGGCCTGTACTGGGGGTGCCATTGCTTTTGGAATTTTGAGACTCAATGGGGCAGATTCCTCAGGACCTGTACGGCTAACAACACAAACCCGCCAATTGTCCCACTTTCATACGCAGTACTATCATCTTCTAACCCATAGATAAACACATTTAACATTAATCACATTGGTTCCTATGTAAAATAGTAATATATTACCGGCATGTGCTTGAATTTCATTGTGATCTTAAAGTGAAGTTCTCTACAATGTACAGACCATAATTATCGACTCTGCTATTAAAGTGTTGGATTTCTTAGAAACCTATTTCAGTTCAGTCGTTGTTTACACCCCCATTTTTTTAATAAATGCAGCGTTCCTGAGTGTGTGCAAAACCTGATGACCGTTGTTTTCCTCACATGATTTTAGAATGAAGGTTTGGTAGTGACAGGAATACCTGATCTATAAATATGCTGTCAGGTGACGGTGCTGGAAAGTCCCCGATTGTAAGTTGCCACAGGTTGCAAAAATTCTTGCAACGCTTTGAGGTGTTTGCTCTCACTATCCCAGATGAGCATGATTTTATTTTTCCTCCACAAATATCTGAAGAAGAGGCTGACACCCTTCATCAATAGGAGGGAAGTCAATTTGACGCCAGAACTTGCCACAAAGTTATGGCCATAACAACCTGCTTTTTATTGATCAAAATGTGGATTTTTGGAACTGTGCTGCACCTGCCACAGTGTAGAAAGATTATTTTTCACACTAAATCATTTGTGGAAGACATAAACATACGGATTGAATAACTAACATAACTGGAACTAAATACAAGGCGTTGTACTACAGAGCACGTAATTGCCATTTTATGTTTGAGCGACTATAAATATTAATATTGATGCATTGCTCACTTACAGGACAACTATACCAAAGAGTGGCCTTTCTGACCCTGCTCAATGTTCTAAGATTTGCTCCCGCTTGGTGAGGCTTTTGTCATGTCTCTTCTGTCACAGCGGGGGTCAGCTGATACACACAAGGAGAAACCCACATGCTGACAGCAGAAACTGAACATGAGTGTAAACAGCAATTCCTTATTTTGGTGGTGATGGCTCATGTTCAGGCACTCCCCATGAGAGGACACAGCAATGCAGAGATATGATAACTCAGCAGTGAGACTTCTAGAGATTTCCAGACAGCTATGGTGAGCAAGGTCTGGTGTGATGGCTGTGTGGGCAGGCAGTGATTGTAGGTGGGTCGGATATCCACAAAAATAATCCAGCAACGAGGAATTCACAGAAGGAAAAAACTGGGAACAGGACAACAGGATCGATTAACTTGCCAAAAGGACGGCATCGTTTCTGTCTGACAATGTCCGTACCTTTTTCACTGTTTTGCATTGAAATATTGCTTTTTCTGGGAACTTTTTTTTTTTTAAATCAAGTCATTGCAAGTATAATGCCTTTCTTCCCTAAAAGTTTTTTTTATCACTGCACAGGCAAAATCAAAGCTCTGGTATAATGAGGTTAACAGGATATCTCACTGTCGTGGTTTACAGGAACACTTAAAAATAACTCATCACATATAAATTGGGCTCAGCCTGTGCTTTCTTTGGTAAGCCCAGTGTCTTAATAGAGCACAGTTTGATTAGTGCATACTGAGAAATTACGTGCCTGAAATTTCTGCGAAATGAGAGGAAAGAATAAGGAGAGAGGCTCAGAACCCAGGAGGGCCTTCCCTTCTGTCCCTAATGACTGGGATGTTATAGCCATGGAGGCTTCTAAAGTTCAGGGATTTGTGACTCGTGTGATATCATTCATGATCATCTGTTTATGAAGTCATTGCGCTTATGTCATAAACAGATTTGTTGTCTTGTCAGAAATAGTAATGTGTTTCATAAAGGCATAAGTCAGACTTCTAAATAAAACTAAGAGCCGTCATACACTTGTTTTCTATGCGTGTGGGTGTGTTTTGAGTTTCTTTTCTTATACACATAGGTAAAAGCAAAGGCTGGTGAAAAAGTAAAAATGAGTTTTCAATTAATACTTTTTTGTATACCAGTTACATACTATTCTTCATTATTTGTTTCACAAGCTTCCAAATTTAAATTTTGATACATGGTGGAACCTCAAACCTAACTTCAAGAAGCAAAAGCAAGTCAATTAATTTCCCAATTCTGCTTCAGCTAGAATCAACTTTAAGAATTCATCGTCTTTGTTTCATGACAAATGAAAATATGTTGAGGTCTAAGCACAGGGCCAGTCTTTCTGGGAAAAATAGTACTTTGACATGAGGTTTCTAAAAGAAACTTCTTCCACCTCTGTCTCACTGGTCGATAGTGACAAGATATTTTCTGTTTCCGCACACTCTCAAACCAGTAAAGGAAACTGATCACATGACAACTTTCAAAGAAAGGAAATGCAACATTTGTCTTAACTAGATTTCGGTACTTTAGGTTTCAATTCACTGTCATTTTATAAGAACACCGCGTTAAAAAACCATTGATTGTCAAATCACAAGCGAACAAATGGTTGATTAGCATGTGAAGTAAGTGGATGTACAGTTTTCTGTGCTTGTTGCCTGTGTGTACTTTTTGTCAAACAAAATTGTCAGACAGACACGTTTTTATAGCCCTTGTGTCAACAATTCATGACTTATCAAGCAGACATTCAGAAATGTTGCTGGTACAGTAATGATGCTGGGCTGGAGACACAACTGTCCCGTAAGCATTGCATTTTAAAAGTAATACAGAAAGGCACAACATCAGATGTAAGCTCTGAAAAGGAAAGGAAAGTCTGATGGAGTCATTTACTCTGTCTGACTTTACACAAGTGGTTTTGAACGTATCCGTGCCAGATGTTGGTGTGAACCCTCTGTCTGTTTTGCAGCTGTGGTTGTGACATCTGTATAAATGGACGTTGTGGTGCTGACCCAAGCGTGGCAAAAAAAAATCTGCTTCATAACATCTGGGCAGTGGTATCATCGCTAATCTCAACCAGCAGGTGCTCTACTGCCCTCAGCTGGCATAAAAAGCATACATTTGTTAAACTGAGTATATTTTCAGGGACTACCAGGAGATGGCGTTAAAGCTCTGACAAAATTCTATGAATTAGACTGTGTGTAATTCAGGATTGTAGGGCTGCAGGGTGCTGAGGTGGTTACTATCCAAGACTCACAGCAATAGAGGTCCTAGACGGTGTGTGTGTGTGTGTGTGTGTATGTGGATTCTCTCTGGGTTCTTTTACTTCCTCACACTGTACAAAGTTAGGTTGATTTGTGTCTCCCAAACGACCCTTTGGAATGTGTGTTCATGTTTTTTTACTGCGGGCAGTCCTGTCCATAAACAGTCAGAATGGACCAACACTGCCTCACTATCCTGAACAGGATAAAGCACGCATAGAGGAAGGATGCTTTTTAGGTATATTTATTACACCTGGCATTAACAAACCATTTTGATAATAAACAAAATCACAACCTGTTTTTCAACTCTACTTATGAATTTTGAAAATGTCAAAAGAAACACTACAGCAGGTCCCTGTTCCTCATAAATTCAAAATGACCTCTTCATTGAAAAGACCGTAAAAAAAACAATACACTTTTCTTTGAATTTATAATCAATCTATTTTAAATTAAGTACTAATACAAACACACAAATTGACACAAAAGGTAAATGAACAAATCAATTGTCTACAATTCAGCAGCAGATGAACAACCCCTGATTTATGCTTTGTGCCCCAGGCCCTCCAGCCAGCTCAGCACGGTGTCCAGTTCTCCCACCGCCTTCTGTGCGGCCGCTTGTGTCTGGAGCTGCTCAGGGTGATGGACAGATAGATGGACAAAACACCAAGAAAGACATGGACATACAGGTTTGGTCATAAGTCAACAGTGCAGGATCAGTTATTTCAGTCACTGAAAACTTGGTGTGTGTTCTCTGAGCCAATTTGATAACTTATTTACTTTTACCTTCTAAAAAAAAGGCAATGGCTTTTTAAAATACAGTTTCAAATTTAAATATAAATGTTTTTCCTTGTACTTTTAAGCTGTCTGACCTGGAATACATTATCAAGATTCAAGGCACGGCCTTTAAGATTTGAAGAGGTTTTTTTTATGTCTCATTAAAGCAATTAAAGTAGAATCCCTCGACTGTGTACTCTGGTAATGTGTAGCCTGGGGAGAAAAAAAAAACATGTTTCCAGACAGAGACGTGTGCAGTCTACCTTGATAAACTCGGAATGGACGGAGTCGATGCTTCTCTGGGTGTGCTCTGCGCAGTGGCAGTGCTGCGTGCAGAGGAACAGTCATCAGTGAAGCCCGAGGCCGCACCAAATCTGCTTTTTCTTATTGTAAACTGTGAACTTACGCATGTGTGCACGTCTCTTCTGATGCTGACGAAAGCGTTCGCCAGCGCGCTGGAGCTGCGCTTCTGCTGCGGCCCAGAGGACGCGTAGTTCCCGAACACTCGCTCCACGTAGAAGCGCATCAGCAGACGCAGGAAGCAGCACGTCTGGCCCTCCTGATGGACACACGTAAAAGAGTCACACCCCAGAGCTATTCCCCCCGGTGCACGCTGCCCCCAGAGGTGGACACATGTTTAAAATATATATAAGAATTTATTCAGAAGCGAGAACAGAGAACATTGATCATCAGAGGTCCGTCTGTGACTTTGGGAACATAGTGCACTTTTTAACGCAAAGTACGTACTGCGTAGATTCAGGAGGAAGAAACGCTACTTTTATTCTTTTAAAATTGAGTAGCTTTTCGTTCCTTGCTTTTATTTAAAATAATCTGTCACCAATGAATGAGAGCTGCTTGTTTTGCTCTGGTCGAAAGACGTCAACAAAAGTCTCCGTCACATGACTGAGTTCCACCAATCTGACAGCGCCGCGCAGTCACGTGACAATACGCACAACCGCCAGCGACTGACCAAAAAGTTGCGCCTAATTTGATTTAGTGTTTTTTTTTAAAAAAGTTTTTTTTCACTGACTTGGTCTTTTCATAGTTGCTGCTCATGTTGCACATTATGTCTGTGTAATTTCTCAATTTATTACATTTAATCATAAATTTAAATTATATATTTGATTTGTTCGGAGCAGTTAATCAGTATTTTTCTCATGAAGCGATATTTAACTTTTTACTCATGTCATTCTTTTCATACTTTTGAAAATTAATATTGTTTTAAGGGTGCAATACTCTTATTAATCATGTCTAAATCTACATGCCCACCTGAACACCTTTCATCAGAGATCTGTCCAGAAGTCTCACTCCAATCTCACTGTCTTCTGAAATCTGTCATGAGAAAACACAAACAACTGCATCAGAAAGTAATTTTCTTTTTTTTTTAAAGTATATTGATCTGCATTTGTTTTAAACACTGACACTGCACACATAATATTCTCAATGAGGATTCGCTTTCGTTCATTGAGTGCGTGTGAGTGTGTATGTGTGTGTGTAACTTACAGCATGTGGCCTTAAGTCTGAGTAATATTTGCGCAGCTCGTGAGTGTGAACAATGACTGAACAGTTGTCCACATGCAGAGTTCGGCTCTCCACAGGCGCACTGAGGCAGCTGAGGAGAACGAGGCAGGCAGAACAGACCAGTAGAGTCCTCATCGTTGTGGTTACCTGGTGAAGCTAAAAGGTAAGGGATGGGACAGAATGGGAAATATGAATTATACAGCAAACAAATACCAGCCTCCCACATATCCTTTTAATTTAACAAAATTCTCAAATAAAACACAACACTATCCAAAGCACATTCAACATAAACGAACAGTTCAAGCATAATTCAGGTAACACCACACTGTACTTTGGGATCGTGGTACAGTGTATTTTGCACCTGTGTATAGACTCACCTGGAGACAGGGTGCTGGAGAAGATGTGTTTGTGTGCCTCCATGCTGCCTCCTCTTATAGTAGAGTTTGGGGGATTTTGACAGTCATTAAGTTCATACACAGGCATAAACAAATACATGAACTTCTACACATGCAGAAATGACTTTCCAGTAGGAGGAAGTGTGATGCAATGAAAGATTTCTCTCACGTGTTAGAGTTTCCTAACTGTTCATTGAAGCAAATTAAACGGGAATCACTTAACATTTCCTCCTTCATACAAAAGGCCTTTGCCATCAGTGATGTGTAGCGATGTTGAGTCAAGGTGTTGAATGAGTCATCCAATTAGAGTTTCATCATTAATTTTCAGCTAATTTGGCTTATCTCATTTTAAAATGTGTGTTTATTTTGTTGCAGAAACAAAGATATGTGAACATGTTTTATGTGCTTTGGGACTTCATAGATTATATTATTCAGATACACTTGTATGAGCATTATCACACTGTGAGAGATCCACAGGGTTTTTTTTTTTCCTGGAGATGACTTCCACTTTTTTTTCTCATGTCAGACTTATCCTTATGAGAAGCACCCGTCAGACCTGCTCACTGGCTTACCAACATGGCAAGCGTAGATTTTGACTTCCAGATACGGTAGACAAAGTTATGAGCAAGGACACCCAACACAAACAGGAAAAACCTGAATATGTGACGTTACACCGTGGCAGTGTCTAATGTGGTCAATGGAAAATGTCCAAACATCTGTCAATTGCATGTGAGCACATGAAGCTCGAACTAACAGCTGACACCTGACGAAGGCTTACAATTGCATGATTGTATTTTTGTTAACCGCTAGAGGTCATCACTAAGCCTTCTCAAAATTCTAACCCATCCAGCAGTGGTGAAAAGCTCTGTTTGCTTCCAGTTTTCTTGTTAATAATTCATTTGTGGGTCGTAAATACAAAAACAAATTCTCCGGTGTGAGGTTGCATTTTTGTGACACTTAAACTGCCTTAAAAAATGAAAACTACCTAACACTAAACACAGGCTAAGAAGCAGAAACAAGGAGTTTCCTAATCCTGCTATGGTTACCCATTTGTCTAATGTCATTGTTTTACTCAAGCAAAATGCCCACTCATAGATACCTGTCAACTAAAGTCACAGTTTTAACATAAAGTTATATTTTCTTCCCAAGCATTTTAAATGTGAACAGAATTTAGACAGCTGCTCGATTACTGTGTTCCTGTTCACCACTTTCCACTGTTTCCTCGAAGCGTGTATCAACATTTGTTGTCAGTTTAGAATTATACAACTTTTGGTCATGCCTATTTTCTCATCCACTGAGCCAAATAAAGTTGATGTAATGATTACCTAACAAAATATTATCAAACTCAGTTTGCACAATAGCTACTTTACATAAAGTTTCTTTCACAGGTCCATTCCTCAACCCTGACGTTTATTTTTTTGACCAGTATGTCGGCACCTTTCTTACATTCGTAAGGCTCTCCCACAATGTCTGAATGTGACACACCGTTACTTACTTGAGTACATATGACGGAGCATTGTCAAATTTTCTTTCTATGAACTTCTCCCTGCTCCATAGCTTAAGGTGTACATTTACCAAAATGACATCTTGTTTGGGGGTTTATTTGCTGTCAGTCTTAAGCTGTTCCACTGACTTGCTCATCTTTAATGAAATTGAAGCATAGCATTTTCTGACCTCTCACCATTTATTAAATCTCTATCCATGTCCATCTTACTTTCATGACGTGAAACCACACCTGCTGTCATAGAACAAATGTGTATAACCTGAAAAGCATCAACTCAACAAGCATGAAATATTTTATGCTTGTTGAAGGAAACATGTATGGAAAGAATGGTCTGGCCATATATTATTTGTGAGGGAGATTCATTAGGCAGGTGAGAAGGGATGTAATAAGAACCAAGAAAATGCATGAAGAATTTTAATCAACAACCAGCATCATCAAATGATCAATGGCAACATTTTATTCATCATCATCTGCACAATTTGTCTTTACAGAGAGGAATAATATACATAGGGTTATGAATAGAAAGGATATGATAGCATTTTTTACATAGCACCTTGAAAATCACAGGCACATTCAAGACTGTCAACTACATGGTAGTTATGTTATAATTTGGTTCTTTATACATCCTCTGCTGGTCTGTTCACTGTCACTAGTGGTTCCTTCACTCTGATCATGTCTGCTGGCAAACATATCTACCCTCTGAATGTGTAGCACGTCTGTCAATGTACCTGTATTTTCAGCCTTTGCTAGTTTTGTGTTTTTTTTTTCTTTTTTGGATGCATTATACTTTTGGAAACAAACAACAAAAAATATACACTGCTCCTAAACTGCAACTCCTTCAAAAGCTTCATGCTAAAAGTTATAACCACTTTTTGCAGTTTTGTAGTTCAGTATTTAGATTCTGAGAAAAATGACTGTTTTTAAAGTTAAAACGGCTGAACTATCAAAGCTTTACATTTACATGGAGTTCCTCCTTCAGTTATGCAGTTCCGCAGCGTGTACAAGCTGGAAACTTTGTGCTTCACTGAGCATTTATTTTCTTAAATTTCCCATGTACACAGCATTGATGTGTGTGAAAGCATCTGAGAAAGCCCACTAAATTACAATTGAATGGAGGTGTCTAAAGCACATGATGACATCCATAGGGATTGGTGGGGTTAAGTGATTTCCATCCAAACGCAGATACCTTTAAAAAGAAGAAACAAAAAGCTCACTTAGCATGCAGTCAAAAGTCATCAGCACAGGAACTATGTCTTTGTTCCTGTTTAAATCATGGTACGGGTTCATGTTGATTATTGTAAGTGGCACACCTTAGTCTTGGCACAAGGCTGTTGTCACTCTGGTCAGCTTCTAGACTGAATGGGCAGATCTGGGTGCCATTGATACCTGTCAAAAAATCACAATTGTGTGGAACTATTGCACAGATCATTTTATGGCACATATAACTTACTTTAACACATACCACCCATTTAAATACTGTTGCTGTGGGAATCAGAGGCATTATTAGCTGGACTACTTTGTTCTGTTCCCCACAATCTTTAGTCAGTCTTTGGAACGTACTGTATAAGAAAATCAATAATTTTCATAGATGATTGTGTAATCTATGTCATAGTTGAACATTAAATCCTTAATTTTAAATCCTCGTCCAGCAGAATGCACTCAAGGTAAGGTGAGTGTGTAACCGGTGTTGTAGTTGATTGTTAAACCCATCCATCCATCCATCCATCCATCCATCCATCCATCCATCCATCCA